GTAGCCGGGCTTGGTGGCTCAGCCTGTAATCCCGCGCCTTTGGGAGGCTGAGGTGAGTGGATTGCCTGAGCCCGCGGGTTCAAGACCTGCCTGGGCAGGCGAGACCTCATCTCTATAATAAAAAAAAAAAAAAAAAAATTAGCCAGGCGTGGTAGCGCGTACCTGTAATTCTGGCTATTCGGAAGGCTGAGGCGGAAGGATCGCCGGAACCCAGCAGGTTGAGGTTGCGGCACTCCAGACTGGGCGATGGAGTGAGACTCCAACTCAAAAAAAATTAATGTGATAGGTTATTGTTTTTATTTGCATAAAAGTAAAAGTTGATAGACCTATAGTTCTGAAATTCTACTGATTAGAGAAGTCTGAAACTAAAGCCATAGGTAAAAAGAACAGATGAATAGCTGCTCACCTGGTTATAAATGCTTGTAGCACCTTGCTTCTACAGTACTGGCAGGATGGTTTTTCAGATGCATCCTTACATTGGTGTGTGGCTTTCTAGGAAGACGCATCTGAGGGCCTTCTGTGTGTTTAGTAGTTCTGATTCTTGAAGGGTGAAAGGTACTTTGTCAGTTGGACAGCAGGAAAGTGGGCTGTTCACGCAAATGATATAATACAGAGAACTTCCACAGACATGCTGATTTGTTGAATGACCTAAAGTCAGTCATGGAATGGAATGTACAGGTGTCTGGAGGAGTTGCAAGAGATAAAGTTGGAAGAATAGGCAGACACTAAATTGTAAAGGGCGTAGAATATCTTTGTGTACTGTTCTTAGTATACTATAATTTTATTACATTCAGTTAAAGATGAGTAAGACCCAACACTTTCCCCTCAAGGAAACTGTAGTCTAGAAGGTAAGACTTCAGGCAAAAATGGGAGTAGTTAATATGGTTAACAGAGAAACAGATTTTAAAAATCTTCATGAGACAGTGACAGCAACATGAAACCAGCCTAGGTGCCTAAGCAATAGTGGACTAGATAAAGAAAATGTGGTACATATATACCATGGAATATACACAGTCATTAAGAAGAATGAAATTGTGACCTTTGCAGCAATATAGTTGCAGCTGGAGGCCATTATTCTAAGCAAATTGACCTAGAAAACCACATGCCACATGCTCTTACTTATAAGGGGGAGCTGAACACTGGGTACACACAGATGTGAAAACAGTAACTACTTATAAGTGGGAGCTGAACACTGGGTACACACAGATGTGAAAATAGGAACAACAGACGCAGCTCTTAAAAAGGGAGGGTAAGAGGGGAGCAAGGGTAGAAAAACTACCCATTGGGTACCATGTTACCATTTGGCTTAATAGAAGCCCAACCTTCACCATCACACAATATACCCATGCGACAAACCTGAACCTGTTTTCCTTAATTCTAGGATTTTTTTTTTAAAAATAGGGGATTAAGAAGGCCACACACAAAAAAATGTTTGTGAGAGAGTTGATTGAGAAGTAGAGAACATTTTGACAGCCCAAGAGCATGCACAGTATAAGACCACATAGCTACAAAAAGATACTTAGGGATCAAGTCAGGTTTGGATAGAGTGGAGCAATTTGAGTAAAATGTGCTTATAGCTTCAGTTTTCCTGATATTAATCATGATCGTACCATGTCAGCAGTGGATTTTCCCCTGATAAAGCCTAATTGGCTAAATACCACTAGAGACAAAGCCTATAGTCTGACAATGTCAGATTTATTTGGTTGTTATGTAAGTTGTGTACATTACTGTAGAAGTTTCAGTAAAAGACTATTTGCCTTTTGTTTAGGGAGCTCCTTACCAAAGCTATGACAGCTGAATCCCCTATACAAATCCTTTAGCCAATAACCAGAGCAGGGGCTATTTGTGCTGTGGGGATAAAGTACTTATTAGTAGTCAATGACATTTCTCGTTTCCCTTTTTCCCATTTTCTCAATCTAGACTCACTTATCTTAAGAATATGAGGCGGCTTGTTTCAGAGCTGTATGTTCGAGATAACTGCCACCCTTTCAAAGCCACTGTGTTAGTCTGGATTCAGCTTCCAATGTGGGTCTTCATGTCTGTTGCTCTCCGAAATTTTAGTACAGGGGCAGCACATTCAGAAGGTAACTATTATAGAAAACCTCTTCCCCCAAATAAGTTATCTAATATTGTCTTTGTATTTTTTTTAAAGTTTCATAATTAGAGTATTTTTACTGTCTTCCTTACAAGAATATAGAATTTAAAATCCTAAGTATAAGACAAGCTGTGTTAAGAAAAACATTTTGGCTGGGTGTGACTGTAGTTCCAGCTGCTTGGAAGGCTGAGGCAGAAGTATCATCTGAGCCCAGCAGGTTGAGACTGTGGTGGCTGTGAGCATGTCACTGCATTCCAGCTTGGGTGACGGAGTGAGATTCTGACTCAAAAAAAAAAAAAAGGAAAAACATTTTGTATTGAGAAAAAAAATAACATGAGTGAAAATCACCTGAATAAAATGTAGATCTGTAGTATGAGAGATGTCTTACCGGAGTTGTCAGATTACTAATGTCCTATATATTTTCCTCTGCTATATTTAGGAATTCTATTGTTTTATTTACAAAACTGTTTCAGCAGGTCGTTCTGTTCAGGAGCAGTTAGCTTCTGGTGGGGTCCTGTGGTTTCCTGACCTCACTGCGCTGGATTCTACTTGGATTCTGCCTGTCTCTGTGGGTGTCATCAATTTGTTAATAGTGGAGGTCAGTAGTTTTAAGTGAAATTTGTTTGCCATTTAAATCATTGGAATTTTTGTTGCTGCTGTCGTGATGTCAAATGTACAGATGTTTGACTCAGTTTAGAGAACTCCAAGCTAGAATGGAAGCCCCTTATTTTCTGGTCCCAGATCAGCCCTTGGGTTAGGCCAGTCTAACCTCTCTGAGCTTCAGAATTCTCATATTATTATAGAATGCTGAATTAGAACACTTCCAAAGTCTCTTTTCACTTCAAAAGTATATCATTCTAATACACATCATTTTGTGATTTGTTTTTGATAAAGACAGTAATTAAGGTGTGCAGTTACTCTGGATTTATTCCCACAGTAGTGTTTTGTGTTTATGCTTGAAGTTGTAGGCATGAACACAGTTGGTGCCTGACTGCCATTTTCTTGCTACATAACCTTAGAAAAGTCACTGGATTTTTTATAACCTGAAGTGGGAAAAGCACATACATGTAAAATGGGACTTCTCAGTTATGCCTTACTCATTATCCCATGCCGCTTTACTCAGCAGTTTAGGGAAAGCATGATTATGATTTCATAACAAGTTGTTCTCAGACTAGAATATAGACTGAACTAGAAGAAAGCTTAGAAGTGATTTACCTCAGTTGAGCAGACCAGCCTGGACAGTGTAGTAAGATGCTATCTCAAAAAAAAAGAAAAAAAAAAAGATCAACCATATGAATTCATTAATGTCTTATTTTTAATTCTTTTTGCTTTTACTAAAGCATTGATGGAAGCTAGTCAAAAATCAGTTTGTAACTGGATGCAGTGACTCACGCCTTTAATTCTAACACTTTGGGAGACCAAGGTTGGAGAATTACTCGAGCCCGGGAATTTGAGACCAGCCCAGGCAACATAGTGAGACCTTGTTTCTACAAAAAATAAAAAAAATAGCCAGGTGTGATGGCACATGCCTGTAGTTTAACTATTCAGGAGGCTAAGGTGAGAGGATCGCCTGAGACCTGTTGATCGAAGCTGCAGTGAGCCGTGATTGTGCCACTGTACTCTAGCCTGGATGACACAAACAGACCCTAACTTTAAAAAATCAGTTTATAGTTTTAAAGCTTGTCTGATAAAATATCCATTTTAATAATCATTGTGTTTGTATATTTTCTACCTCTTCAGATTTTTGCTCTACAAAAAATTGGGATATCTCGTTTTCAGACTTACATTACGTACTTTGTTCGTGCTGTATCCGTGTTGATGATTCCAATTGCTGCAACAGTACCCTCAGTGAGTAAGCACCAACATTGTGTGCTGCATGAGCTGAGTCCTCTGTTTCTAGCTTAGACTAGCTGGGATCCTGCTTCTTCTATTGCGCTTCCTCTGACTACTTTATACCTTACTTTTTTTTTTTTTTTTTTTTGAGTTGGAATCTCACTCTGTCGCCCAGGCTGGAGTGCAGTGGCACACTCACAACCACTGCAGCATTGACCTGCTGTGCTCAGGTAATCATTCTGCCTCAGCCTTCCAAGTATTTGGAACTACAGGTGTGTGCCACCATGCCTGGCTAACTTTTTGATTTATTGTAGAGATGAAGTCTTGCCAGGTTGCCCAGGCTGGTCTCGAACCCGTGGGCTCAGGCAGTCCTTTCACCTTGGCCTCCGAAAGTGCTAGGATTATAGGCATGAGCTACCACCCCCAGCTAATACCTTACTTTTTCAGAGTTTCTGTAGTAACTAATTTGTCTCTGTCACCAAATGACATTTAAGTATTTCTTAGCATTGGTTAATCTTTTATGTGAATGTGTCTTGACCGTCTTATGAAATCAAACTCCTTTTTCAAGACTTTAAAAAAAAAATATTACAAAATCTCTTGCAGAATACCAAGAATATAGTATTTTGCTCTATTTGATCAATTGTTATATTGAATTATTTCTGCCTATGTAGACTAAACCAAGGACCAAGGAATTTAGCATTTAAAAAAAAAAGGCTGGGCATGGTGGCTCAAGCCTGTAATCCCAGCACTTTGGGAGGCCGAGGCAAGAGGATTGCCTGAGTCCAGGGGTTCTAGACCAGCCAGGGGTTCTAGACCAGCCAGACCTTGTCTCTACAATAAATCAAAAAAATTAACCATGCCTATGGTTCCAGCTACTTGCAAGGCTGAGGCAGAAGGATCGCCTGAGCCTTCCAAGCTTGGGTGACAGAGTGAGACCCCGACTCAAAAGAAAACAAGCAAAACTTTGTGACAAGCCCATTATTATTTAGCTTCATTAGATACACTTGCCCCTATTAAATTTGATAGACAAAGAAATGGTTATGTTTGCAGTTATTTCAGTCTTTTATGCATATTTCTTTCTTTTTTTGTGTTAAGGTAGGTTTATTAAAGGGAAGATACATTGTTAAGGGCACAGTGGGCAGGACAGCAGTGATAGTATCTGCTGTCTGCCCTCAAGCATATTTCTTTTTTTAATGAGTAGAATTCTCATTCTGTTGCCCAGGCTGGATTGTAGTGGCATGCTTACGGCCACCGCAGTCTTGACCTACTGGGCTCAAGCAATCCTTTCGCCTCAGCCTTCCAAGTAGCTGGAACTACAGGTGCGTGACACCACACCTGGCTAATTTTTTAATTTATTGTAGAGATGAGGTCTTGCCAAGTTGTCCAGGCTTGTCTCGAACCTGTGGGCTCAGGCAGTTCTTTCACCTCGGCCTCCCAGACTGCTGGGACTATAGGTGTGAGCCATTGCGCTCGTTTCTTTTATTTATTTATTTATTTATTTATCTGTTTATCTATTTATTTAATTTTTTTGAGTTGGAGTCTCTGTCACCCAGGCTGGAGTGCAGTGACATACTCATGGCCACCACAGCCTCTACCTGCTGTACTCAGGCGATTCTTCTACCTCAGCATTCCAAGTAGCTGGAACTATATGCTCACGCTACCACTTCCAGCTAATTTTTTGATTTGTGGTAGTGATGAGGTCTCCAGGCTGGTCTTGAACCCCTGAACTCAGGGGTTCAATTGCTAGGCTGGTCTTGAACCCCTGAACTCAGGCAATTCTCTCGCCTCAGCCTCCCAAAGTGCTGGAATTATAGGTGTGAGCCACTGCACTCAGCCCTTTAAGCATATTTCTACAGATACTTTAGATGTTGCTAAGAAGACAAAAACTATGTCAGGTATCTCCATGTTTGCTCAGAGCCCACACATAGAACATAAAGTGGAATTCAGTTGTTAGTAGTTAGGATTATATCAGTATATTAAAATATATATAAAGGTATTTCCCAGTACTTTGCTTAGGAATCTGAAGTGATGTTTTTGACATGAAAATGTATTTTTTAAGCTGATACTAGGCATAATACTGTCATTAATCTTATGCAAAACAAGTTTTCTTATCTCTAACATAGATATCATAATGTTGGTGAGAATTAATGAAATAATATCAAATACCTATTGTAGTACTTATTTACATATTAGTATTGTTGTAAAGTACCCTGTAAAAGTAGAATGGTGCAGATTCATTACATTTCTACAGAGAAATAATACCAATTAAAATTGAAGAAACCCCCAGATGAAATAAAATAGGAGCTGTGAAGTTTTAGTGAGAGATTAGGTTCCAAGTGAGTTACTGTCATCTAAGAAACAGTGACTTCAATACCTATTTAACTATAGGAAATCCACCCTGGCAGTTTAGTGGTGATATGGCAAGTCCAAGAAGATGTACTCCTCCCTTTCTGCTCCATCATCCATAGTCTGTGATTTCTGTCTTCAAGGCCACAGTGTGGTCATGATGGCTGCTGGAGCTTGTTATCTTACAGGCTGCAGGGTAAAGGGTGCTTCAAGTCCAGTCTGCTCAACCCCCTTTCGGGAGGTTGAGCAGATATCCCACCAACCAGTTGTGTTTACATCTTAGTTATGTGGCCTTCCCTAGCTACAGAGGAGGCAGGGAAGTGTAGTCTTTTATTTTATTTTATTTATTTATTTTATTTTATTTTATTTATTTATTTTTTGAGTCGGAGTCTCACTTGTCACCCAGACTGGAGTGCAGTGGCACACTCCCGGCTACTGCAGCCTCGACTTGCTGGGCTCCGGCAATCCTTCCAAGTAGCTGGAACTACAGACATGCGCTACCATGACCAGTTAGTTTTTTATTTATTGTAGAGACTAGGTCTCGCCAAGTTGCCCAGGTGGGTCTTGAACCCGCGGGCTCAGGCAATCCACTCGCCTCAGCCTCCCAAAGTGCTGGGATTACAGGCTGAGCCACTGAGCCCAGCCTATTTTTTAAAATAGATGGCAGTGTGCCCAGCTAAAAATTAGGATTTTGTTACTAAGGAAGATAGGGGATTGATCCTAGATAGGAGCGTATAATTTGCTGTAATTGGACTCAGATTTTTTTAAAATTTGAATTGAGTTGTTACTCTGTCACCCAAGCTCTAGTGCAGAGGCAACATCATGGCTCACTGCAGCCTTGATTTCCTGGGCTCAGGTGATCCTTCTACCTCAGCCTCCTCAATAGCTGGGACTACAGGTGCATGCCATCACACCCAGGTAATTTTTTTTTAGAGACATGGTCTCACTATGTTGCCCAGGCTGGTCTCAAATTCCTTGGCTCACGCAGTCCTGTCACATCAGTACTGAGATTACAGGTGTAATCCTCCCAAAGAACTGAGATTACAGGTGTCAGCCACTGCATCTGACTTTATTATTTTTTGGTTGGTGGATAAGTCAGATGATGATGATAGCTAATATTTGTTGGACTCTGATTTTGTACCAAATACTGTTTTAAAAGGTTTATGTATGTTACCTCATAATATTTCTCCCAACAGTGCAGGACGGAGGGTACTATTAAAATCTCCACTTTGAGTTGGGCGTGATGGCCCAAGCCTGTAATCCCAGCACTTTGGAAGGCCTAGGCGAGAAGATTGCCTGAGCTCAGGGTTTCGAGACTATCCTGACCAACTTGATGAGACCTCATCTCTACACTATAACAAAAAATTAGCTGGGCATGATAGCACGCACCTATAGTTTCAACTACTTGGAAGGCTGAGATGGAAGGATCACCTGAGCTCAGCAGGTCGATGCTGGTGTGACTGTAAGCGTGCCACTATACTCCAGCCTGAGCGACAGAGTGAGACTCTGACTCAAAAAAAAAAAAAAAAAAAATCACCACTTTGGTGATGAGGAAACTGGCACATAGAGAGATTAAGTAACTTATCCCAGGTCGCTTAGCAGTCTTAGCACACATTCGAGCAGTTTGGGTCCTGTCTTAGCTACTGTGCTAATCTACCTTTGAAGATGTGTTACTTTCTGCCTCTAAAGACTTACTTTGGAACAGATAGCAAATGCAAGTGCTTAATATGGACTACATACTGTGCTTACCACTCTGCATGAATGATGTCAATTATTCCTCACAGAAATTCTCTAATGTAGATGCAGTTACTGTCCCTATTTTATAGATGAGAAACTTGAAACAGAAGGAAGATAGCTTACTTAAAGTAAAAAAAAAAAGTCAAATAGGATTGAAACTCAGGCAGTTTGACTCCAGGACCTGGACTCAGCAATGTCATGGTGTTCCTTCTGGGGTCCAGTAACTTTTTTTTTTTTTTTTTTTGAGTCCGGGTCTCAATCCATCATCCACACTAGAGTGCACTGATACAATCATGGCTCACAGCAGTCTCAAACTCCTGGGCTCAGATGATCCTTCCGCCTCAGCCTCTTGAATAGTTGGGACTACAGGTGCATGCCACCACACTCAGCTAGTTTTTTTTTTTTTTTTTTTGTAGAAGCAAAGTCTCACTATGTTCGCCAGGCTACTCTCAAACTTCTGGGCTCAAGCAGTCCTCCTGTCCCAATCTCCCAAAATGCTGAGATCACAGGCGTAGGCCGCCACATCTGTCCTGATTACCTTCTGATGTCAAAGAAAGACTTGGAACAGATTTGAGTATAGGAGTGTTTTGAGAGGCTGCAGAACTTAAGTCATTGACCTTAATAAACAGTCTGAATGGTAATAAAAAAAGAAAGTAGAAGGTAATGCTGAGACTGTTTGTCTCAGAAGGAGGAAAGAAAATGCATTCCTGAGTATACTGAGAAACTGGCTAATGGGAAAAATTTGGAAGAGAAACGATTATATGGGGAAAAATAAGGTCTAGGAAGGCTAAGTTTGCCATTATAAATGGACATGTTCCCTTCCCTCCAATCCCAGTATAAGCAGCTTGATAGAACTCTTGGTGCAGAAAAGATGTGCTTAATTACCCAAAAAAGAGATGAGATCTATCTTGGGCCTCTATCTTTTAGCTGCATTCTATTACTTGCTTTCTACCATAAATATCTCTATTTTTGCTTTCTTTTTGCTTTGCTTTTTGGTCTGTCTCAACCTTTGTTTTACCTATCTGTGAGATCCATCACAGTTAACTTAATAGATGGCAGGTCCTGTTCAGTCCTGGTATGCTATTGCCTGTGTGTCTCTGGATCGTGTAGAATGTACAGGTGCTAATATCCATGTCTTATTTTACAGTCAATTGTTCTCTACTGGTTATGCTCCAGCTTCATGGGTCTGTCACAGAACTTGCTGCTGCGTTCTCCTGGATTTCGCCAACTTTGCCGAATACCATTGACAAAGTCAGATTCAGAAACTCCTTATAAAGACCTACTTACTGCCTTTAATGCCAAGTTCATTTCAAGAAAATGACGTTTTCCAATAATTTTGAAACAGTTCCACATATCACTATCACCTAGATCTATTTAGATTTAGAAATTCAGGTATTTTAAAATTAGCCTTCATTTAATATCATGTCTTTGTGAAATACTTTAGGTTAAGATGCAATCCAGATATATTTGACAATAATGAAAATCTTGGCTGGGCGTGATGACTCAAGCCTGTAATCCCCCCACTTGGGGAGGCCAAGGTGAGGGGATTGTCTGAGCCCATGGGTTCGAGACCAGCCTGGGCAACTCGGTGAGACCTCATCTCTACAGTAAATCAAAAAATTACCTGGGCATGATGGCGCACACCTGTAGTTCTGGCTACTAGAAAGGCTGAGGCAGAAGGATCGCCTGAGCCCAACGGGTTGACGCTGGGGGTGGCCATGAGTGTGCGTGCCACTGCACTCCAGCCTGGGCAACAGGGTGAGACTGATTCTAAAGAAAGAAGATTAAAAAAAAAAAAAATCTTAAGCCAGGTGTGATAGCTCATACCTGTAATCCCAGCACTCTGCAGGGTGGAGGCGAGAGGATTGCCTGAGCCCAGGGATTTGAGATCGGCCTGGGAACTTTGCGCAACCTCATCTACAATAAATTAAAAAATTAGTTGGGCTTGGTGGCGCACACCTGTAGTTTCAGTTACTTGGAAGGCTGAGGCGAAAGGATCGCCTAAGCTCAGCAGGTAGAGGCTATGGTGGCAATGATTGTGCCAACGTACTCCAGCCTGGGCAACAGTGAGACTCTGACTCAAAAGAAAGAAAGAAAGAAATCTTTTCAGAATTAGAAATGTAGTGTGTTTATTTGTAAAAGTATAAAAAATTGAACCAAAGTGTCTGTCCCCATTCATAAAATTAGAACTTGTTAGAGGTGCCAGAACTTTGGAGAACAGGATTAGATACTGAATAATGTCAAATTGCTTCCTACTTTAAAGTTTTGTAAAATAAAAGGATTAAAAAAAAAAAAAAATGCCGGGCTCGGTGGCTCAGCCTGTAATCCCGCGCCTTTGGGAGGCTGAGGTGAGTG